CCTATATCAATTGCCTGACACATCTAAACAAAATGGAAACGTCTCACCATATTATATTCTGAATATTAGATTAAATGAAAGAGTCCACAGATATCCATTTTTTGCACAGCCTGGATGCATCTCTGGACACAGTCTTCTTTTAACGCATCGTATACGTCTGATGTATTCTGGTTTAGCGTAACTAAACTGGCTAAAGCAAGTCGACCCATTTACGCTAAATACATATTTTGAACACTTGAAACAAGGCACCTGAAAATTCATATTATTAATAATTGTGTCACATAGTTGTTACTACCATCGACCCGATCTAATTATGTTTAATATTTGGACCAAATAAGGACATGTGAAATCGGTATTATAATCAAAGATTTCTATCTTAGCCTGCGTATGAGAATGTCTTCGGAGTGTACACAAACATTAGTTTTTCGCTGTATCACCATTAATACAGTTGACTATTTCTCATATTTCTTTTGGAACATCTTTTACCTGATGGACTGCTAGAAATTTTTTTTAATTAGTATCAACTGCTAAATAAAAATTTTATAACCGAAATGAATACGCAAGTTAAAGGAACTATGTAATTTTCCCAATATAATGCGCAAATATCGTCCGTTTATTTTCCGTCGATAAATAGTTAAATCTGTTAGTCAAATCTTTAAACAAAAATATCAACTCATGATTTTCACTTTAAAAATCCTGAAATAAAGCAAATATAAAGCAAACAATTACAATACAAAACATTTTTGACATTCTAAAATTCTTTTCATCATTCGTAATTAAAAAGGAGGTCCTTATAAATTTCATCGAACACAAACATTTCAAAAATAATTCTCGTAATTTATCGATTAAATAAATTAACTTCATATATCATCCTAAAATAAACAAATTTTCCATTTAATTTTTCCATACATATTGTGTTCAAAATATTTCTGCGATAATATCAAGAAAATCAAATCCAGCTAGCAACAAATCTTTGACGACGTCATGTCATTTCATAAAAATTAAATTGAGACATCTATGATTATTTTAATCTTTTGAGCATCTTGCATATATCATATCATCATGATTCATCATTCTCAAAGTAAAAGTAAATCTTCTGTAAAAGAACCCGCATATGCATCGCCATTTTGTGCGTCTTTTTTAACATGTAACATCGTATTTCGCTTCAAAGTCTGAAAAAATTTTCAAATGGCCGCTGTCATTTATCTTTGCCCTGTTCTTCGGGTATCATACCACTTCTGATGTCGTGTTATCCATATACTACGAACATCATCTTTAGTGGTTACTCATCTTGTGGGCGTTATCAGGGTTCAAATAATAAAGTATTCAGTGCTCAATACACAATTTAATCATTGAAGTCACAATGTTATAAACTTGAAACGGTAATTCTAATGATTTAGAGCTAGCGGGTTCACAGTCACCGATCATCGACTTCCAACTACAATATCAAACATAACTGATTCACCATGATATGATAACCAACGTTACTAAGCCACGTATCTCCAAAGAATGTCGTGATGGCGTCTCGACCCCGCTCGAGACTAAATCTCTGCTCTACATTCAAAATAACTTTAAAAGTAAATTAAAGAACATAGTGACTTTAAACAATAACAAGGTTTCATAACAGAAAAAGGTAACTAAATCCTCCTCCGTCTTATATATATATATATATATATATATATATATATATATATATATATATATATATATATATATATATACTTTTGACTCACCCTCGCTTCGCTCGGGTTCGTTCTAGGTACGTTTTAACAGAAAAGATTATGGGGTTTCCCAACCTTTCTCTTGACCGTTCTCGGTTTCCGGAAAAAAATCCAAGAATAATTAATAAAAACATTTGATGTATTGAAGTAACACACAGGCTTAATTTTTTTGCCAAAACATCAATATTTGTCTCAATCGAATATTTAAATTAAATTTTGCACTTTATTGTAAACATCACATTTTGCACGTATTAATAAATAGACAAAAAACTGTTATATAACTTTTATTTTATCACGTTGTAGTATCACAAGTCCAATATCAAAGTCTAACAAACTTAAAAATATACTATTATTTCGTTCAGTGTAAATTACATATCACAATAATCGTTACTTTTCTTTGAAAAGATAAAAGTATTTTTTTATCTTATATATAAAATTTCCATGTCACAATGTTTGTTACCGTACTCCTCCGAAACGGCTTTACCGATTTTTACCAAATTTTATATGCGTATTCAGTAGGTCTGAGAATCGGCTACCATCTATTTTTCATACCCCTAAGTGATAAGGATAAGGGTGGTCCTCCCAGACCCCACCCCAGGGACGAACCCGAGCGGAGCGAGGGTGAGTCGCTAGTACATTACTATATTTACGTCAAATATTTATTTTGTATTGTTTTCCAATCGAGACGCGACATAGCGGAGACCATGTGAGATACATAATAATATGAGAGAGAGAGAGAGAGAGAGAGAGAGACAGAGATCTCACACACTCATACACACTCTCTTCCTTTCTCTTTTTGCATTTCGCATTCGCTAAACATTCATAAAAGTCAAATCATAAAAGTAGACGTATTATTCTATTTCTTAAAAAGTCATAAAATTTTAAATAGCCATTACCTACTTTATTTTCTAAAAAAAAAAACATAAAACCCTAATATATTCAAAGATCACTCTAGAATAACACATTTACTAATTATGCATAAACTTTGATTCTGCATCCTAATTGGAGGTCATCTATATTTTTTTTTAGGAATATCACACATATGATGCATGTTATATGCATTATATACATGTAAATTACTAATTATTTATTAACGTTATATATCAATTTTCCTTTTAAGTATGATTATTTGATTTGACCTTTCCTTATCGCGATCATGTTATTTTATTATTATACTAGCCTGCGGCTTCGTCCGCATTCAGATGACCAAAAACCAAATTCTTAGGTTTTACATATTAGTATACTCTTACGTTGCAGTTTTTGTATTTTTTCTTAGAAATTAGATATTTTGCCGCGATAAAAAGTATTCTATATGTTGACCCGGATAACTAGCCATCACCATACTAAATTTCATCAAAATCCCTCCAGTGGTTTTGATGAAATTTGGTGATGCGGTAACAGACAGAGGCAGAAAAAAATACTAAAAACTATAGATTCGGCCTCTGTATCGATAATAATGTCTATTTCAATAAGATTTTCCAAAAATATTTAATGTACAGATTTGGCTCAATTAGAATTTTATTATATTATTTATAGATAGACTGAAATTAAAAACACTTTTTATTTAAAAAGATCTTTAAAATAAAACTCATCAGATTATTTCCAAATTTTTTATTGTTAACAATAAAACTCCGCAATAGCTACTAAACAAAAAATAGAAAATCGGTTGACGAATAGAGTAGAAAAAGTTACTGAACGGTTTTGTCTTTGCATATTTATATTTACAGTTCATTTTATATTATACGTTGGTATTGTAAAAAAATAATACTACGTTGAACACAAGCATTCTCTCAGACCTTTTTTTTTAACGTCGGGAAATGAAAATTTTACCAACGTTAAAAAAAAGGCAAAAGCTTAAATAAGCACGATGTATAGGACTCACCGGCAAAGCCAGTACTACCCACTAAAACCCTACAGAACCTCCCCCTTAATGGGGCATCGCAGGATCGCTTACGCACTCAACCACGACCTGAGGCCTGCCGAAGTAGACCACAACAACCATAGGGTTGCTCCACAGTCCACTCTGCTATCAGAGAAGTACCAGGAGCAACCCGCATAGCACACCACCCACCAAGGTGGGCCGCCTCCCAGTTCGGTTCTTAGATTCGCGCCCGGACCCCCCCCCCTCGCCTCCTACCATGACAAGGTAAACGCACGTTGGGAGGAGTATCTCAGACCTATGTTTAGTACTCAAGTACTAATAATATATTAGTGAATTTTGTGGGTTAGCCCACGGAACATACAGACTTATTCTTAGAATGGAATATTACTATAATATTTTAGTTAAAAGCATAAATTAATAACATCAGAAAGTTTAATATTTAGAATAACTTACAACCAAGCATGTAATTATGAAATAATCATCTGTACTCAAGTGACGTTCGCGAGAACATATAAAAAGAGATAGAAAAACAAGCATTTTTTCCGTCTCTACATATTATGTTAAACTTAAAAAAATGTTAACCGACTTGAAGATGCAAAATAGCAAGAATATAACTTCATTTACAATATTTAAAAATTGATATCTATACATATTTTTATTTTGTACACAACTTAATCCAGATCCGTGAAGAGGTCTTCAAGAAATCGGTCTACATACTCGTACAAAAAGATGCTCGACTTGGCGGGGGCACTGCCGTGCCCCCCGATAATCGCGTGGAACAAATTTGCTAATTCTTTTAATTTTAAAAGTCGGTCAAAAAGTCTTAAATATGAGTATAAAATGTAGGTACATACATACTTAATTGTAGATTTTTTATGTCAGCTGTAGGCTTGTAAAATAAAAGTTTAATTCAACTTTTAAACGCTTGGTGACGAGAGTTCTCGTTAAAAAAAACCAAATTACCTAAATGTAAAAATTACATAAATGTACCATTTATAAAATAGGTTAGTATAAGAGCCTGTATACAGGATATATTTAGCTCTTGCCTGGTATGGGGTTCCCCCCTGGGTTTAACCGGTAGGTCACCGGTTCGAATACCACTTGATAAAATTGTTTCATGTCATATCGATTAATTCTTGCGGAGACTTTAGAAGGCATAGCACAAACGTCTACTCCACCTTTTAGGTAACCCGGCACTGATCTTTTTTAACATATTGGCACCACACGTATATCTTCGTTAAAGTAGTTAGCATTTACTCAATGAAACAAATTGAACTGGTTTTAATTATTTAAACATTGATGGAATAGGACCTAGTGGGTACTTTAGATTTAGTACACAATCTTGAACTACTGATTCTTCTCTGGTACATTTGAAACACTTTACAATTTTGTTACAGATTGGAGCGTTAATTCTAGTCATAGCCTTATTCGCACCTACCCATGAACAAAGTACGCCATTATCGCCATGCCCCAACGTGTTTATGTACGAGCCCGCGGGCAACGAGCCAGGGCGGTGGTACGGGGTTGTCAACCTATCAACAGATAGCACTTTACATTCGTTATGGCTGAACATAGTGTTAGACAGCAAGGCAGATATCTTAGGGGTGAGTTTCTATATTATTATGTTCCACTTTTAATATTATTTGCTTCTTTTCTGAGTACATTATTAACAATTTTACTATTTATTTTCACAGAACTGGGTTGGTGATGTCACTACTACTAATAATATTGACTTTAAAGTAGAAAACACAAAAATGAAAATCCATCCAGGGCCGGCAGTGGCTGTACGATTTTTCGTTCAATATAACCCATTAAATAAAGTCCCACGTGTTCAAGAAATCAGACTGAATGGAAGAGAAATTTGCAATGCGAAATTACCGCAACCAGCAGCTGATGTTGACAATATTAGACCAGATCCAACATCAATCAAACCTAGACCAGATACAAAACCTATAAGACGCCCAGACCAAACGTCCGGATCTATCGACAGACCTATCGATAGACCTACAGATATCAGGCCTGTCGAAACCAGACCAGATACTAGACCTGGGCAATACAAACCATCCATTAAACCAGAAGACAGGCCTGAAACAAAACCAGTATTTGGTAGACCAGCAGGTGATGGACCTGTGTATGTACCAAATTCTAATCCATCAAATCAACAAACCAATGTTAATCCTTATAGCATGTAAGTGTCTAACTGAGTTCACGTAAACATCATGAAATATATGCACTATACTTAAATAATAAACTATTCATACTTTAACTTTGAAGCTCTATCTTTCGAATAAAACTTTGCATGAATTTCTATATAGCATTCTCAAATTCTTTTAAAAATTATGCAATTTTTTTCTATTAAAAAGCTTTAAAGTATTTGCATGGAGCAACTTATTGATCTTTTACTTGGGTCTTTTCCAAGATCTTCCATATCTGTTCTATGTAGAAATTGTAGCTAACGCGTTACATCGCGCTCGTTAACAGTGGTGGTGGCACTGTCCCAGATCAGAGCGTAACAGAGCGAAGACCCTATCAGGTGACTGCGACGCCTTATCGACCCACTCAGTCTGATGATGATACAGATGATAGGTATGAAACTTATTACATTAAAAAGTATAGAATAATATAATACATAATAACAATAATTAAATGTGTTAACATATTTTCTCTATATACATAAAATAATATTCTATCTCTAATATCTATCGTTTTTAGAATTTTTGTCTGTCTGGGAATGCATCACGAGAAAACAACTGGACAGATTTTTGTCACACAGAATTTAGTATGATGGTAGCTGGTTATCCGGGTCAACACATAAACTCATATCTGTCAAATCTATACTAAATGTTAAGACGTAACTAGGGACGAACCAGAGCGGAGCAAAGGATGAGTCGCTATTGTACATATATAGATTGGATTCTCTTTCTTCATACTATGTAATTAAAAGAACGTGAATATGAAAGAATAACTTATGCACCTACTACTAGCAGAACCCGCGGCTTCGCTCGCGCTAAAACTACAAAATACTCTAAAAAGGTAGGTTTCATACAAACTTTCATCCGCTATTTTGCCCCCATATGGGATGAATTTGGAAAAATTCTAAAACACATATCTATTTAATTGTATTGAAGATCATTAATACCAAGTTTCAAGTAATTCCGATCATAAATATTTTTTTGGTTTGTATTATAAAGTAATTTCCCGTGGGAATGAGATAATTTCCCGTGGTAAAAAATAGCCTATGTCACTCTCCAGCCCTCCAGCTATCTCCACACTTAAATCACGCCATTCCGTCACTGTTTCAACGTGAAAGAAGGACAAACAAACAAACACACTTTCATATTTATAATATTAGTATGGATGTATAATTATTTACTTTTATGTATACGTTATACTTACATATAATATGAACACTTAACAGCTAGATATAATTGGAAATTATTATTGTGCCAAATATTTTTAAGATTAGCTATATCCAAACGCCATGCTTTCCTTATTTTGCATGTTTAATTTATATAATTTATACAAACCACTTTAAGGATTTATATATTGTTAAACTTAAAATGTGTAGATTTTGTTACAGTGCGTTCTTCAAATAGCACTGCGAGCTTTGTGGTTGTGGATTCGTTCCGGGATGATGAATTTGTAATTTTTAATATAAGTAGTAGAAAATGACACTAAACTACTTACTCCATATAAAAAAAATGTAAAACTGCATCAGATTTCTTCTTATTTGTGTTAATTTTTATTAGAAAAACATCCATTTAAAATATTTAATGTCAATTAGGTTAGGTATATTTTCTTGTTGTAAGAATCTCACAGTAACCTGCCCGCTGATAGCCGATGGTGATTGGTAACCCCATGATATATTTGCCCGGCGATTTAAAAAAATTGTTAATATCTTATATGTGTTGTAGTATAATAATAGTCTAACTCAGCTGTCCGTTAACTTCTGGTAGAGAATCCTTGATGGGTTCCCCAACACCATCAAATAAATGGTTACGTTCTTATTAACTTGATACAATATATCTTGTCGAGTTCCAATAAAACAAAAAACAGCAGTATTTTCCGTTTTTATATAATACAAGCATGTATTCAAATTTATATCCAACAAGATTTGTTAAAATAATATTTTCTGTACAGTAAAGTGGATCCAGCAGATTACTTCAATGGTGGGGTGCTCTTAGTGACTCCAGACACAGCTGTTGGCGCCACAGGAGGCAAGCAGAAAAATGTAAGTCATTTTTTATGTAATTACTAGGTACTTACCTCTGCTTCCCTAGGTGCCTACAGTACGTACCCGAGAATTACTTTTGCTTCCCTAGGTGCCTACAGTACCCTAGACAGTACCCTAGGTGTAACTCCAGATCGTGCCCTTCTTTCTATAAAATCTCTCTATCTTTATTACGAGTATTCTTATCCTCTTATTCTATTCTATTTTTATATAAAATATCATGTAAATTCAAAAAGCAACCAATTCATCGCGAAGGAATAATAAAATACAGGTTACTCACGAGAGGAGAGTCTCTCCCGTGACCATGACTGCTATAAAGCATTCGAAACGTCGGGAACCAAAAATCCAAATAAATCCGCGAAAAAATCCGAAAAGATAGTTTTATTTAAAAAAACAATTCGAAAGTAAAGCATTTACTAAGAAAATATGTGTTAGTATTAATCATGGGTAGTTCCATATGTATTAATATACCACAATTAACCATACAGGTATGAAGTAAATCCCCGTATTGATGACATTTAAATTACAAAAAATCTTGTTTATCGCGACCGGTTATTAGTTAATAACCGGAATCTTAACGACTTCAAGACATCTTATTTTCTTATATTATAAAATAACATTAGACATTTTACTCATATTTTATATCTTGAAGGATGTGATTCTAGTTTACTGTCTTATATTTTTATATACTCGTATATACATGTACATTAACACTTGGGTACATGTGCTGAATGATGATGATGATGATGTTCTCTTAGCCGATTCCGGCTACGGCGGCTAATCTCATTGACACTAGCCAACTGCGCAGTAGATATTATAGTGCACAAGTGTACGCACAGACACAAGTGCACTCTCTATTCCTGACACTCTCATACTCCGGTGGGACGAATGATCGACACGACCAGTGAGAGTTAAAGCGCAGGACCGACGGCTTTACGTGCTCTCCGAGGCACGGGGGTGAAACACCGCCAAATTCCCAACTCCGGGCTGTTACTGAGACTTACTATACAGAAAGACTCAATAACTAAACTTGGCCCGACCTGGGACTCGAACCCAGGACCTCCGAGTGTGCAGCCGTACATGCTAGCCACTACACCACCGAGGCAGTGCTGAATAACACTGTGATGACACACGACGCCATAAGATTTTTATTTTTAACTCAAGTTCAAGACTTAGCTACCTTCATCTATACTAATACTTATTATAAAGAGGAAAGATTTTTTTGTTTATTTGTACCGAATAAGCTCCGAAACTACTGGCAAATTTTAAACATTTTTTTACCAATAGAAAGCTAAATTATCAGGAAGTAGTATAGGCTATAATTTATTTTTAAAATAATTAGAATTCCTTAAGAAAATTGCAATAATGTAACCAAAAATTTTGCCTATAAAATCATTATTTGGCGAGCGCTGAGGAAAGTACTGACGATACATAAAAATATATAATTTATCTATTCCATACTAAGCGTTAAAACGTACCTAGGGACGAACACAAGCGAAATGAGGGTGAGCCGCTAGTATTTTATATTATAAAGTTCTCTTAATTGAGTTCAGTCATGGCGACCAATCTCAAAGCATAAGTACTTACGCACAAACATAAGTGCACTCCCTTTCAATCTCAAAGTCCGATGGGAGGATACTTAGACACAGTTAGAGTTAAAACACAGGATCGACGGTTTTACATGCCTTTGAAACACGGGATATTTTGATATTAAGTATATTAATATCCCCAATTAACCAATTATAATCATTAATTCCATTAAAGGTTTATTAGGGATATACCTGCTTCGGTAGTGTAGTGGCTAGCAAGGACGGCTGCACATCGAAATGTCCTGTTCAGTTATTGAGTCTTTCTGTTTAGTAAGACTCAGTCACAGCCCGGAGTTGGGTAGTTGGTGGTGTTTCACCCCCGCGCCTCGGAGAGTATCTACGTAAAGCTGTCGGTCCTATGTCTTAACTCTCACACTTGTGTCTGTTCGTACGCTTGTGCACTATAATATCTCCTGGGCAGATGGCTAGTCTCAGTGAGATTAGCCGCCGTGGCCGAAGTCGGTCGGGAGGTCATTATTATTAGGGATATTAGTAAGCAGCCCACATCACTCTAACCCATAAACAAAATCTATACAAAAACCAAATCTCCAGCCTTTACAGCGTGAAGCAGTAAAAAACATACATACGTCATACCTACAAATATACGGTCAAACTTTCGCTTTTATTATTATAACTAGGTACTCTTGTAGCCCAATTTACATACACCCTGAAGTATACTATTATTGTAATATGATATCATAATATATTAAAAAATTCTGTTGCTTACTCAACGCATATCTATACTATAATAAAATTAATTATATATTCGTTGTAACAGATAAGACGAATTAAACACGGAACCAGCCGTCTATCTGTGCGCACTTTGAAAACGTTTGATACCACGTGATTTCTTAATTACTTTGTGTGTTCTTGTTCTATCGCTTTGTTTATTGGCCGATTTCATAAGAAGAGGATTTTATCAATTCTATAAAGTATTTCTTCTTTGTCCAAAATTACTAAACATTGATCGTTTTTTATGGGAGAGCTATCAAGCAACTACTTCTCCCATTCAAATGAAATTTTTCTGTGTTTTAATCAAACCTATTACGTATACTATAAAAAATTCAATCAAATCAGGAAATCCAAACAGCTGTTATTTAGTGATGCAAAATAAATCTTAAGGGTTTACCCACAAAATGTAGTTTTGGCTTCTATTACATTCCAAACACTAATATTTCGACAACTTTGATACATTATACAATTTTTTGGCTCTAGCAATTGTATTAATTAAAAACCGGAATTGGTAGACAGAGGTCCTCTCATAGATCTTTTTTTTTACATATTATCTTCTTTTTGTTACATTTAGGTATATATTATAAACTGGCGACTCACCCTCGCTTCGCTCGGGTTCTCATTTTTTTGAGCGGAACCCTGATTATTTTTCTAAAATAAAGTAACGAAAGTCATTCCTTATAACATCAGCTATCCGCCAGTGAAAATCCCGTCAAAATCGGTGCTGCCGTTTTAGAGATTAGTCGGAACAAACAGACAGATAGACAGACATTTTTTTTAATTGTGTTTTTATCATAAATACAGTAAATAATTTTATATTATGCATTTAGTAAAAAGCTGTCATTTTGACATTACAAACGGACACTTCAACTTTGTTTATCTGTATCTAATCTAGATTTTCCTCTAAACTTTAAGGGATAGATCGTTTAACACTCGGAAACTACGTAATTTTAATTCTGTTTAGATCTTTTTACCTCTATAGGTACTTATTAAGTTGGACTTTAGCATAAGTTTGCTGACGTAATAACTGTAAAAACCTGTATTGTGTTTGTCTATTTATAACCTTTTTTATCTATACATATAATAAAATTCTAACTCGGCCGAATCTGTACATTAAATATTTTTTGGAAAATCTTATTAAAATAGACATTATTTTCGATACAGAGGCCGAATCAATAGTTTTTAGAATTTTTGTCTGTCTGTCTGTTACCGCATCACGGGAAAACCACTGGATGATGATGAAATTTGGTATAGTGGTAGCTGGTTATCCGGGTCAACATATAGGAGTAACTCATTTCTGAGAAAAAATACAAAAACTGCAATGTAATATGTATAACCTAAAAATGTGGTTTTTGGTCATCTGAACGCAGGCGGAGCCGCGGGCAAACCTAGTCTATAATATAAAAATGAATCGCTGAATGTATTGGTAAGCGCAAATCTCGAGAGCAGCTGAACCGATTTTGCTAATTCTTTTTTGAGAATATTCCTTGAAGTACGAGGATGATTCTTACGAAGAGAAAAATTAAAAAAATTGCCTGAAAAAGTCTAAAAACAACACTTTTCTATACTCCCTTACAAAAGATTCGTATTAATACATAAAAGTCAATTTGAACTTTAATACCATTACATAAAGTTTAAGTGTTAGTGGAGAGGTTCCGGGAAGGCAAAACATTGATGGCAATTGATTGACGTTAGAATCGTATAAATATTAATGTCAATATTTGTCAATATTATTACAAAAAAAAATCATATTGCTAACGCTGGCTAATAACTATTTATATCTATTTAAAACGTACCTAGCGACGAACCCGAGCAAAGCGAGGGTGAGCGCTAGTAAATAATAAATATGTTAGGACATTAACACACAGCACCATCTAGTTCCATGGTAAGCTACGAGGCTTGTGTTATGGATACCAGATAGTCTTCTTCTTCTCCCTGCCCATTTCCCAATTACTTGGGGTCGGCGCAGTACATCCTCTGTACTACTGAAAGGATTTGGCAAAAGTTTTACGACCGGCCGCCTGCCTGACGTCAACCCTCCTTGGGAATGCTATTGTTTATCGAGGAATATGTCTTATGATATGTCTCTTATATATATATCTCTGATTATGTCTTGTAATATGATGCACTTTCGTTTTTTTTGTCTTTTAAAACATTTTTTATACTATTAATTAAAGTTTAATGTTATTTTCGTATATATTTTAAAATAAATTTTAATTACACTATAAATTTTGGTTGTTCGTTGTCAAATTTTTTCTAATTTTGACCATATCCATACCAGATAGTATACACATATATAACTTTAAATACATGCGTATCATAAATATAAACACCTATGACTGAGCACAAACATTCGTGCTCATCACACAAATGAATGTCCCCAGCGGGAATCGAACACGCGACCGCTGGCACAGCAAGTAGGGTCACTAAAACCTGAGCCAAACGTGTCGTCAATTAATTACAAACATTCGAATGTGATGAAATGTTTAGGGTTCTGTTTTAAAAGAAAGGAATAGATAACACCTAGAATAGAGTACCTACGTGTGCCGAAATCCGTTCATACTTTTATACCAAAATTCTTACTTGTCGCCAGACCTTGAGGGTCAATGCACGCGTAATATCTTTTGACAATTTTCCATTAACTTTAACATTTATTTACCCATTTATATTTTATATACC